TGCTTCTTCTCAGCTCATTTATACACAGTCCAGTATCTGAGCCCAAGGAATGGTACCATGCCAAAGGCTCTGGATCTCATCAAGTTGACAGCTGACCCTCCATCACAGCTAGTGTATGAGAATGGGAATTACAGAGGAGTTCATATTTAAAGATTTGTAGACTGTTCTTTCCATCAGAGCAGCCAGAGCTGCTGAAGTGGTGGCTTGTGCCCACTGTCGAAGGAGACAGATTAAACCAAGTGCCAGGGGCCAGGGAGCTGGAATAGTGAGACCCAAATGCCTGGCAAACCTGAGGGCCTGAGCCTGATCAGCAGGTCCCATAATGTGAAAAGCTGTCTCCTGACCTATAGCTCTCTCTCTCTCTCTCTCTCTCTCTCTCTCTCTCTCTCTCTCTCTCAGACACACACACACACACACACACACAAAGAAATGTAGCAAAAACAAATAAAAAAAAAAAAAAACCAAGCCATGGAAAATGAATCACCAAAACTTCCAGTTTATCTGGTGAATCTGTAAGTGGGTGTTTTACGTCAAAGCTGCCATTTTCCATTTCGTGGAGCAGATGAAGGGAATAGCCTGACAGTTATCGATAGCATGGTTCCACCATGGACAGCACCACCTCCAGGTAGATACTGCTGTTAAGACACAGGCTTTAAAAAACAGATGCCCTTCCAAACCAACATAGAGAGAGAGCCCTGTTGTTTGGTTCAATACATGACAGGTCAAAACACTGAACTTTTTCTGCTGACAGTATGCACAGCAGGTTGCCAATCAAAAAGGCTCTCATGCGGTCCTTAACAGTATATTCATTCCTCATGCCGTCCTTAACGGTATATTCATTAGACATCATTATGCCTTCATCACTAAGACAATTTGGATTTTGAAACTTGGCTCTAGCATGCTCAGGTTCCATTTGAACAGCAATCACCTGTCACTGCTTAAAGTGTCATCTCCTCAAGTGACATATATTTGAATTGGTTGGCTGCTCAGCCAAGGGTAGTGTCAGTACCAATGCTTACACAATCTCTGAACCCGGAGCTGCCTCACAAGATCACAAGCACAAGAAGAGGCTCTTAGAAGTTCATTTTCATGGGAGAAGGCTCCTCACTCAGGACTACGTGCAACAGGATTACAGCCTGATCCTTCTGCCTCTCCTAAATTCCGGATTTACAGGTATGTGCTGGCATTCCTGTGACTTCTTTAGACCTGTAGAATCAGAGCTAAGGCAAAGCACTACTGGGCCGCTCTGTAGTCAGGGTTGCACACCCCTGCCTCAATTCTACCTCTGCTGAAACATAGAACTCATATTAGTCTACCCATAGTTTAGCTGGGGATCACTGAGCCCCTTTAGTCCCCTTTCCAATGCACATAAAGAAACATCTCCTTCCTCTGATTTCCATAATTATCCTTCAGTTGGGTACTGACGACAGCTGCCAGCCCAATCTGCTGGGGCTGCCACAGCTGGGCTTTTGAATTGAAACTCCAGTCACAGCACCACATCAGAAGACTCAAGGCCCAAGAATTCCATTGCTTATCACAAGTAGTTTCACACGAAGCATGCTGTTTTCAGATACATTCACTTAGGGAGGAAGTTTATTTCATTTCTTCCACTTAGGAAAGTTCTTTATAATGTCAACTCTAATTACAAAGTCCTCCCCCACCCCTTTATTTAACAATGGGAAGGAGGGTGACCAATGATTCACGCTCACTTGGAGACATCAAGAGTGACTTCCATTGTCCTGGCATTTCCCTTTCCTAGGGAAGACAGCCTGCCCTTGATGATCCATCCTCTCCAGTAACAAGTTACCTTGTGAAAGGTCGGGATGTAAGGTAGAGACTTCTGCAGGGTTCATCTCAGTCACTGTGGCTGGCAGAGACCTCTGCTTCCACAAAACTGACTTCAACACACTAGGGGGTGGAGAGGACAGCAGCAAAGCTGGATAACTGCATTTGATTGGTTCAGCATTTCCTGGTACCTATGAAGCCCAGGGATGGACATACATCTTAAGAGACTGGAGCCTTAAGAATCATTTGCTACCAAATCAGTGTAAAGTCAGGAAGTGGAAAGGACCCAGAAGATCCAGCTGTGTTGGCCCAGCAAATAGGTAAGGGGAGAAAACGCTAGTGGCGTCCAGTGCAGTCTTCAAAAGTGAGTATACCACAGGAAAGTAATTCAGCCAGTCAGGAACTTTCACATCTTAGTTCTGTCAACAACAGGACTCAAGTTAAAACTCGTGGCTCCTGGATAAGGTTTGGGAACTGTGCTAGATCATCCATCCTTCCATCCATCCACCCATCCATCCACCCACCCACCCACCAACCCATCCATCCATCTACTCATCCACCCACCCACCCATCCATCCTTCCATCCACCCACCCACCCACCAACCCATCCATCCACCCACCCACCCACCAACCCATCCATCCATCTACTCATCCACCCACCAACCCATCCATCCATCATCAACTATCTACCAGACAAGATGTTTCATTATTTAGTTCAGGCTGGTCATGAAGTCCTGGCAATCCTCCTGTTTCAGCCTCTCAGGTGGTAGGATAGATAATTAACTGACTCAGGATGTTCAGTTCCCATTGACAATGAACTGGAATCAAGTTTTAATATAGGATTTAGTAAATACTTACCAGACTAGTGGTGCATTTGCCCATGGTTTTTATAATGATAACACTATTGATGAAGACTCACTTCACCCAGGGCATCACGAGTATTCAAGTATAATAAATTCCTTTTCTAGGAAAAAACCTTGTAAGCCCTTTGAACTTAAAAATTAATCCTACCTATTCTAAAATTCACTGCTAATTTTAAATTCTGCAATTAATGGCAGCAACCACAACAGCTACATGTAGTGACAGAAAATCCACAGCAAGCCTGTTACAGTGAGTAGCAGTGACAGTTCTGAATCTTGGGATTTACAACAAAAAGAAACAAAAGGTTTGTCTTCCAACACTCATCCCCTTACCCTACAATAAATACATTTCTAGAATAGCAAAGAAATCATGTTTTGAGAGAAAACTCCATGAATTAATGCTGATAGCTTTTTTTTTTTTTTTTTTTTTTTTTTTTTTGTCTTTGTCTTCCAAAGATGCGATCATGTCACTGGGATCAATTAGGAGACACCTGTGGGCAGGCTTGTGAGGGAATCTCCTGGAAGGTTTGAGGCAAACAGGGAACACACTTGTAGAATAACAGAACCTTCTGGCAGGGGGCCAGATGGTCTGAAGGAGGAGCAGCTGCTCTGCTGCTTCAGGCCTTTGCTGCTATCAGAACTCAGATCCTTTGCTCTTCCAATATGGGACTGAAGAATTACAGCTCTCCAGGGGTCCCCCATGTCCCCAGCACCGATTGGGTGTCAGGCATCTAGCCTCAAGAACTAATTCAGTGCAACTCCAGAGTACGTTTGGAGAAGTTAACAATTCCTGGTGGACAGGGATTAGTATTCTAATCGCTAGCATTTGGTCATGGGCTTTAAGCTCCCAAGAGACACTCAGAAAATGTCTGTTGAATGACCAGATGCTTAGCAGACTTCTGTTCGATGTTCTTTTGCTTTTTTGAGAACATACCTAAGTAGGCCTGGCTGCCTGCGTCTCACAGGGCTTACAATGCATCCTGAATGCCAGGATTAAAGGCTGCACCAATATGCCCAGAGTTTACCATTTTTTTAAAAAACAGAATGTGGCCCAAGACAATGAATATTCATTAACATTTATATGTATGAGCGTTTGCCTGCCTGTTCGTGTATCACATGTATGCCTGGTCCCCGAGACCCAAAGAGGGCAGCAGATTCTCTTGAGCTGGCATAACTGAAACATGCGAGATGCCACATGGTTGCCAGGAACCCAATCTGTATACTCTTAAAGAGCTACAAACCTCTGGGCCATCTCTCCCTCCACCCAATATTCTTTTATACATTTTACTAGTTTTCAAATGTGTTTTCCTAATTTCGTTGTTGTATGACTGTACTTAAGAAATTTTGAAATTAAAATTTTCAAGGTCACTTGAAAAACTGCACATTTTTAAATGTCCCAATTTTAAAAAGAAGATAATTATAGTGTAATTTAAGCGTTAAAACTTCAAAGATACACTTGACCACCAATGAATAGAAAAGTACCCTTTTATTGAGGTAAGACAAGTGTATTTACAATACGCCATTGTTAAGAGTATATAATTTGACCATGAGACTTCTAAAGCAGCTGAATTCCAGAGAAGTGTAAGGGACAACATTGCAGGCATGTTTCTGTTACAGAAGGTACATTTGAACATGACAGAAACACTTAAGGCTGAGTACTAGAACTTTTCCTCCATTTGGGGGAATAAAGGTTTTTGTTGTTTTTTGTCACAAAGACAGAAGGCTGATTTTTAGAAGTGGGCAGGGCTTCCAGAAGTCAAAAGGCTGGTTTGTTTAAAGACAAGCCTCCCAAGGTTCTGACAGAAGTGCAGTGCTGATGAGCAGTCAGTCTCAGGCCCCCGAAACAAAGTGAGCCCAGCCCCTGCCTTGCAAAGGACGCAGAGCTTCTCGAATCAGATCCAGTGTGTTCTGAAATCGGACTGCTGAAAGGGCATTTTGCTGTAGTGCAAAGAACACTGTGATGGGTCATGTCGAGGACGAATTTAAATGGCAGACTCCCGCTCTAACAGAGTGACACCTAGCCACTGTCAAACCACATGGGCCAGAGCCTATGGGAAGCGTACAGGGCATCTCACACACGTCCGTTCCCAAAGCATAGCACTGACATTCCAGGGAAGGTGTGACTTTGAGAAGGTCAGACACATTGCCAGGTCTTTTATTATCCCATGAGCTACTGAGGTAGGGTTCTCCAATTCACAGGTTACACCATAAAGTCAGAAGCAAGTACCAAACAGGACAGAAATCCACAAGAATGAACCATCCCACTACACACCAGTCCTTCCTTCTGCAGACCAGCAAGGCTGGAGATTCTCCTGGCACCAAGAAATTTAACTAAAAACATCAAACATTGTAACGTCTTGTAGAAATGGTTTGTAAATAAATACAATTTTAATTATGATTTTCTGCATTAAAAAGCTCTGAAACTGTTAAAAATAAATAGTTCAATCATTAGTGGTAAGATAAACAGTGTCACATCTGAGGGTGCTCCCATGACCAGGTAAGGAAGGACACCATTGTTGCTGCTGGTAGAGTAGCAACAGAAGGGAATGACAAGATTGCCCCAGCACTAAGCTCCCGAGGAACCCCACAAGTTTAGTTATAATGTAATAGTTTTTGCATGTCACCGGGGCATCTTTTCTCCTAAGTCAAGATGGAGATCAGTGGGGGGCAGGTATGGTGCTTGCTGCCTTCTGGATGTTACAATAAGGCTGCAAACAGGAGGAAAGTTAAGATGAAATAACAGCCCTTCTCAGTCACAGAATCATGCTTTTAACATGTTACACACCTTCAATGTCACCACAAGTTGTGAAACCAAGGTAGGAAACTGTGGCCAAATTTCATAAGAACACAAGAAGAAAAAACTACATCATAACATGGGGAAACCATCTGATGTGCATCATTTAGTATCTCAGTAACTGATTCCAATGCCCTCTGCGGCAGACTACTCCATGGTCAGAGTGCTCTCTGCTTGGCGTCTGCGTGCAGCAGATTGTATGAACACACCCAGGCCATGCTCAAGAGATCTGCGCATCCACAGTGTCGTAGAGTCCAGAAAGCACTTGGTCAGCTATGCTTGAAAAGTAACAGCTCAAAATGACCTCTGCGTATTCTGAAAAAGAATGTCTAGTTCAGATTTTTATCTGGCTCCAAAATATTAAGATTCAAAAGGACCACAAAGTTTTATTTTCATGTTTACAAAAAAAGTGATTGACACATGAAACTGGGCTTTCCTTGGGCTGATACATGGAGACGACATAATCTAATCCAATTCAGGCATCATTATCAGAGACCCAGCACACCTAGAAATACCTGGGCCATCATTAAAACAAAACACAAAACAAAACAAAAACACAGAAAAAAAAAAAAAAACCCCAAATGGCTACTGGTGTTCCTGAATCTTCTAAAAAAAAAAAAAAAAAAAAAAAAAAAAGTAACAGACACCATGGTTCTCTATTAACGGCTGTTTCACGGGTTGCAGCAAGACTAAGAATCAGCCTTCTCAAGTCACTAAACTTGGTAACAAGGATCCATCCTCTCCAGCCGCTGTGCTCAGATGGTCTGGCCACAAGGCTGCTGTCAGTGCTTCTTCCATAACTGTTGGTGCTCTGGAGGGTGTGCGCTTTAAACTTCTGAAGGGCTTTACAAGCTAGTTTGAGAAACTGAACTTTGTGCTGAATAGTCTTCAAAGGGTTCATAAATAATATAATATTTAAAGTCTTCAGTTCCCTTGCTGTTATACCATATTGTTGCTTTCTCCAACTTTATCTACAAACTGTAAGAAGAAAAACATAATTAAAGGGAGCTCAGGCCTTGTATAGCATTGAACCAACACTTTACATGCTGGTTTCAAACATCCAATTTTATAAGGTTTGCGGGAATTCAAGGCATGACATAGTGGTTAGCTGGATGGTGTCCAACACCACCTTCTCAGGTGTGTATAAAATTTACTTTTCTAGAAGCTGCTTTTGCATGACATGTCATACACATGAATTTAAGGGTGAAACATGAAAAATGCAACACAATGAATAAAATAACGTATAAAATGACACTGACACTGCTAGCTCAACAAAAAAAGAAAAGACTGAAATGCCGGCCACTCATGCATTAATGAACCCAAAAAGATATTTCCACTGACCATTCCTGTGGATCTCTTCTGGGCCTATGTGGTCTTTGGACAAACAGATTTAACTCAATTAAGTTCAGTAATAAACAACAGCTATCAGCTATCAACTGAAAACATGTTACATGGGCATTCTGGACATCATACTTAGGGGGCAAAGACACTGAGACAGTCAGTGTGGCCAATGTAAACGTATGAACTTCAACGGACACTAAGGTAAATGGTCACTGATGGGCTACTCTGCTGTCTTACGTGGGCATCCCAGATGGTGATGATGTGCAGCTTGCAACAGTTACATCATCAGGGCAGTGCTGCAGGGCGGGCATTGCTGAGATTGCACCCATGCTTCACACCTGTTACGTAGGCACTGACCGCAGACCCCTACTGTACACACTCATTTACACACTCATTACAGACTTGTAACTGCAGTCTTAGCAAATTCAAACGTCATTTTACATATAAACGATACCTAAGCTGAGTCTGGTAATAAAATGAATGGAGCCAGGGTCCACCCACCCCAAGCTGAGGCACCAACCTTTGCAATGATCCTCAGCAGGTGACTGATAGAGGATGCCTGTGGGTTCACTAGAGCCTTAAAACACCGTATTTGCTCTCCACAGACAAATGATCAGGCTGTTATCAGGGTGCTTTGCCTCTAAGACTGATCCCCAGGGAAAAGACTGGGCTTACAGTGGTGCCCATTTTCCTGGAAGTCTGTTAGCCAAGGACTCAGGTGACACTGTGGCTGTCCCTGCAATCTCTAGACAGACAGATGGGCCTAACCACCTTCTGTACTTCAACCTGGTTGTTCAGAATGAGCATGGACCTGTGGAACAAAGGTTCTTCCCAGGTGACTTCTGCTACGGGTTGGCTCTAGAGCCTAAAGAACTGTCTCCCTCCACCCGGGCTCCATCTACAGCATTCTCTGCGTATTTTAGGATCTCACTTAGTTTTCAGACTAAGGAAGATGGCTAGAGAGAAGTCAGAGTTGTCATGAGGTTGACTGGCTCTGTGAGGTCATTCACTGACTTGGGAAAAATGTTTGGCATTTCTACTGTGAGTGGCAGGTGTTACGCTGGGCTCTGGAGAAGAACGGCTAATAGCCATCTGCCTACTCTGCTACGAGCGACTATGATCACGGCTCTGGAGCTCTCTTCTCGATAATTAAAACAGGAAAATGTTACAATAGAGGCGTATACAAGGAAGACAGGCAAAGCCATCCTGAATCTGCCACAGGGAGTTGGGAAGGCAAGTAAAGCCTGAGAGGCTTCCCGAGACCCCAAACCGATGGAGCCCCCATGCCCCATGGCAGGTCAGTATTAACACATCCACAGAACACACCCTGAAAGCAGGATGGGTTTCACTTAACAATTCACAAAAGTAGCTTAGCATTATCAACCAGAGTAACACCAAAATAGAAAACAATACCGAAAATGGCATGTCCAAACAAAATGTCAGGTTTTGCATATCTACAAACTATTAGTTTCTGATTTTCAGGGTAACCAGGATCCACGTGGCACAATCATTTATATCATAATGCCTCAATCACATTGACGATTCACGCTCCCAGTGGGCATCACATTCATTTGGATGGTTTAAAAAATGTATTACTGCATATATGACTACTTACTGATCTGATTCCAGGCAGATTTAGGAGGGATCCAAGGACAGGCACTCTTCTGATAAAGCCAACAACCACAGGAAAGAAGCCCCTGGGAGGAGAAAGACAGGCTGTCAAATCAATGCTTTCTACCAGGAGGGGCCACTAACCCAGGGAAACTGAGACTTCAGAGTCGCTAGTTACAACAGTTAACGGTTTGATCGCTGGCAAAACGGTGCCCGGAGTACAATGGGCAGAGCTGTGCTGTCACCAGACCATGGGCTTTTCTGTCTGTCCCACTGCTGAAGACGGGAGGGGCCACCAGAAGAACCGAGCTGCTGAGGCTTCGTGTGAGACCATGAAAACACACACAGACAGAACAGCCAGTGGAAGGCAGCCTCACATCTTGTCAGTTTTTGGTGGGACACATGCCCACACAAGTGACCCAGCCGCCAATTAGTTACACTTTGTCTTCCACATCAGAAATGCTAGCTTTCCTAAGACAGATTTGCCTTAATTCATTTTCATGGTTTAGGTGACATGGTGCCTGGCACTCTAAAGTATAAATACAAGCAGTGTTTCTGAACGTATCTTCTCATGCACACTCTGCTTTACTGCCTAACTGGTTCCCGTAAGACAGCAGTGCTCAACAATCCCCCGTGTTCTTCACTGGGCCTCTCGCCATGCAATGCACATGCACGAAGCATGCTGTGCTCAAGAAGCAGCTACTATAAAGCAACATATTTACATAAGAAAATGACCTGTCTATCCACTTATATACCCCACTAAAGAAACAGCAAACCCTGCTGTTTGGTGTAATGTCAACTTGACACAAGCTAGAGCCATCAGAGAAAGGAGCCTCAGCTGGAAAAAAAACAAAAAACGGCTCCCTGAGATCCAGCTGTAAGGCATTTTCTCACTTAATGACTAATTCGGGAAGGCCCAGGCTATGGTGGGTGGTGCCATCCCCGGTTGCTGGCCCTGGGTTCTATAAGGTGGTCTGAGCAAGGCAGTAAGCAGCACCTTCCACAGCTCTACAGCAGCTCCTGCTTCTGGGATCTTGCCATTTTGAGTTCCTGTCCTGACTTCCTTTAGTGATGAACAGCAGTGCTGAAGATAAGCTTAATAAACCCTTTCGTCCCCAACTCGCTCTTTGGCAATCATGTTTTGTCACAGCCATAGAAACCCTAACTAGGACAAATTGTTAGGAGAGTGTAGTATTGCTGTGACAGACCTTACCATGTTTTTGGGGGGGACTGTGGAACTTTGGTCTACAAGAACCATTGAGTGTTAAGAGCTTAGTGGGGCGTTCTTTAGGAACGGAATATAAGAATGTTAAGTACAGAGGATGGAGGCTTGACTTGTAAAGTTTCGGAGGGAAGTTTGAAGACTCTTATCAGGGCTGTTATTTTGAATTAGGATCGCTTGGCAGGGGCTGGAGAATCCACTGTGGATAACAAGATAGCAGAACTACTGAGGCAAATTTTACTTTGCTGGAATACTTGATGTGGGTGGGCTGAGTTAAGAAATCATAAAGAAGAGACCAGCATCGTTGAGGTGAAGCCACACTTGGTAACGTGTAAGCATCACCCAGGTAGTATTGGTGTTGCAGGCATGAAGGGATCATGGGGAGCAGCTGAGGCTTGGCACTGTGAGAGGCAGGAGAGGCCACCGGTGAAGATGCAGCCTCAGTGGCAGTTGAAGGCCCAGGACTGAAGGGGTCACGCGGAGAAGTCGAGGCTTGGCACCACGAGGAGACCCTACGAGGGTCCACTGGTGAAAGTGCAGCCAGCTGCAGGCAGGGACCGGCACACTGGAGATGCCAGGACCACGGGAAGACCAGCAATAACTGTAGCAGTGGTGGAGTGCAGCCAGCTGGCGCCTAGAAGACAGCTGTGTGTGTTGCAGAGGGCGGAGCTGGAGACGTAGTCAAGACCTCTGGAAGAGTCCGGAAGACAAGTGGGGCCCAGACATTGGATGGCTGGAATTTTGTTTTGCGCTGATTTGGTTGTGACTGTGTCCTGATTTTTTTCCCCTCTTGATGTAAAAGTATTTTATTGGAGCCCCTAGTTGAGAGACTTGAATTTTAAAAGACTTTGTATTTTTAAAGATATTGACTATTTTAAGGGAATTGTAAAGATTATGGGACTTTGCAAGTTATTTAAGATCTTGGGGAAGAAGGGTTGTGGCTTAACAGTGATGCGTTTGTGGGTCAAGCTGAGCAGGGGTCAGTTGTACTGGGTGGTTGTGTGGGAATCTGACACATGCTAGAGTCGTCAGGGACGAAGCACTGCAGATGCTTAACAAACACTTCCTTACTTCCCTCAGGCAGTCACTTACACCTAGGAAACTTTCTTATAGTTGACTGACCTAAAATTGAAAGACTTAGTCTAAACAGTGGTCATTCAGGAAGCGACACTCCCATGTGAGGTCGCCTGCCCAGGGCTCTGAACAGTTATCTGATACACTGGCTCACTGAAAGTAGGAGATAATGGCCTACCTGAACAAGAGAAAGAATCCATAAATTTCGAAGATCATGCCTATCAATGGCCAACCAATGAGGACCACAAACACACCACCCAGGAAGAATCCCGTGGCTTTCACTTTGTGTTTCTGGAAGAAGAATCTGAATGTTCTTTCTAGACCAATTACAAAAGCCAAGCCAGCCACAAACAGAACCTAGGAGAGAAAGACAACACAGACAAGGTTAACCCCTCATCAAGTGAAGAGCAAGGAGACGAGTCAGCAGTGAAGCAGTTCGCTTGGCGTCTGCTGTGCACCCTGCGCAGAGCCAGCTCACGGGGCATGCACGCTGGAAGTCCTGGCTGTCTCCACTGGCCTCATCTTGTGTCTAACCCCATTCAATGGGGGAAAGATGGTGGAAAGGGACTCCAAGACCCACATCGGCAGTTTCCCCAGCTGGCCTGGATGGAAGGGAAACGGCTTAGTTCAACAGACAGCTGGTGAGGCCTGGATGGCCAGCTCGCTTTAATTTCCCACCAAACGTCGTTCCTGACTGTGTGACAGTCACTGTGGGGTGTAGCGGTTTCTACGGGTGGGTGATTTCAGTGGTGACTACACAGATGGCAGAGGATCAGTGTAAAGCCAAGGAGGAGAGCCCAGCAGCAGAGTAAGAAATCCTTTCCCTGCACTGTGAATGAAATGCCCCCCCCCCATCCCCATAGTTTTCCTCAGGGCAAGTTACTTCTTACCACACATACCACGCCCACCAGCTAAGTACCACATTCTCAGAAATCACTAACTTTGTTTTCCTTTCTTTTAATTAAAGTAAGCCACAGACTCCAAACACATCTTAAAATCATTCAGTGACTTTTCCATCTCCCCACAAGGGGGTTATTTCCTCCTGGAACTCCTGTCTGACCAGACAGGTGGACAGGGTAGTACACAAGCAAGCAACCAAAGCACTTCCTTTCCAGTGATGTCAGGAACACAGCACCCAAGTATTCAAAAACAGAAAACTACATTGATCTATTCACTCATGTGCTGGTCCACAGGCATGTGCATGGAGGTTAGAGGGTATTTTAGAGGAGTTAGCTGGTTCTCTTCTTCTATCATGGAGCTCCCAGAGATTGGTTAGTGACAAGCCCCTTTGCCAACTGAGCCATCTCATGACAAAAGATGTACTTTTTAAAAGCTTCTGGTTATTAAAAATTTGTTTATGTAATTTAATCACATGCACAGTCCCAGATATTTCCATTCAAATAGTTTGATAAATTTACTAAGGGGCTAGCAAGTCATCCTTCTTTTCTTTATTGTCTGAGATAGTACCTTGCTACGTAGCCCAGGCTAGCTTTGAACTGGTGGCAATCCTCCTGCCTTGTTTTTCTACGTGTTGAGCTTATAGGTTTGAGCCACCATGCCTGGCTAGGTCTTCTGCCTCCAACCACTATTCAGGTCTAACACTCATTTACTCAATTGCAAATCACACCACAGGGTAGCTGATCAGGTGGGAGCCTTAAGTTTATCTTCTGTTCACACAGAGCTGATGGGGTTCACTGCCGCTGCAAACTGTGAACCTGAGATTCATTTACCTATGATTATGAGCAAGCAAGTCACCAATAGATAAGTCTGATGAATTTAAAATGCACATGTCCAAAACTTACATTTCCAATAGCCAGCAGTGCTTTGTCAAAAAAGAGGATCATTCCAAAGAACAGGAAAAACACTCCAAACCCTGTTAAGCCCATGCCGATTTCTGCAACACAAAGCACATGGTTAAGGCAGAGAACCAAGTCCCTGACAATCCCACAAACCCAGCAAAAACCACAGGTCTCCTCCACCCTGGAGGTCAGCTTCTTCATGGCATCAAGTTCTCTACCAAAGTGAGGCAGCATCAGCTAGTTCTGTGGCCAAGTGCCAGGAGACAGGAAAAGGTAGGCCTAGATTCTAAACTCTCTCTCTCTTTGATTGTAGGCAAAAATGTACAGGTTTTAACTGTTTTGTCTCCTATAAACTTTACAGCACAACTGTTACATGCTTAGGACTAGAACCTGAAATAACAACCTAGCCCACATTTGTACGTGTTCATTTAGAGACGAAGACTCTGTCAATCAACTCCTGGAGACCCAGGGGTGTTTGTTGTGGTGCTAAGTGCAGTGGTGGACACAGTACTACTGAGGCCGACCTGCACATAAATGCTTTGCTGACCTTACATTTTCTAGGTCCTATCTTTCGTTTGAGGCCACAGACACTCTTGCTATTGCCACAAAGAAAAATCGGCCACTTACTTCTTGGTCACCCTGCTTTAGCTGTTAGAGGCTAACTGGCAACCTTTATTCTTCTCCCCAGAACTGCTGTTTGTATTAGTGATTTCTGGCCCGTTGCTTATTATTTTCCCTTCAGCTCTAGAGTGCTAAAATCCAGGCCAGCCTGTCTCCCTTCCCCTGCCCCCATACACATTACAAATCAACAAAACTAAGACTGAACCACATCAAGGTTCTGACAAGCCAATACTTTATAAACTTTACCTCTGTCTACAGCTCCATGGCCTGTTTTTTATACCATCTTCTATTTTGTTTCTAAAGTTAGTCTGAAAGAATCTACAAGCCTGTCTACCATCATTCTAGTTTAAATGTATTTCAGGCGCAAATATCGTAATTCCAGGCTAATACTTCCTTGCTCAAATGTTTCAGGAGAATTTACTAAAACAACTAGAAGGGCAAAACACTTTATTAAGCAACTAGGAGTTAGGAGCAATTCATAACAGCCAAGTTATCCGAGTGTGACTTCTATGTTCACAGATTATCTTAATAATTACACAGAATCCAAGATGTTTGTTTATGGAAAAGGAAGTCAAGCTGGTAACGTGCCCGCTGTGCAAGCAGGATGATCTGAGTTTGGATCCCAGCACCCACCTACAAAGCCAGACATGGTTCATGCCTGCGATCCCATGGCTTGGGAGCAGAGACAGGAGAATTCTGAAGTGCTCTGGCCAGGCAGTCCAGTTAAATCAGTGAGCTCCAAGTTCAGTAGAGAGCCTGTCATTCATATTCACCCCCCTCCCTTCTCTGAGAATGACTGATTGAATGTAAATCTGGCCACAACTGCGCACATAAAAAGTAAAAGCATTCCCCAAGTTTATAAATAAAGGAGAAAATTAAATGGAGATACAGTAATATGCATTGAGAACTTGCCAGGCACTGTGAGGTGTTTCTCAGAGCATATGAAATGCAACCCTCCCAGTATCGCTGGGATGTAGGCAGAATCACATCACTTTGGGATTGGAGGAAGATGATGGGTAAGAGGGGGATATTAGCTGCCCCAAATCAAACTATCGTTAAGTAACTGAACCAAGTCTATTTTAACCACAAAAATATTTTTACCCACAGTTTAAAAATACATTTACTAAACCAGAGGGTACTGGGCTGCCCAGAATGATGTAACTGACATAAAGTTTAAATCTCAGTGTAGAACAACCCAGTAGGCACCAGAACTACTGAGAGTTAGCTGCAGTGGGAGAGCGTCCCATGCGGCTCATCACAGTGCAGTGTCCACACGCATGCCTGGTGATCCCTTCAACAAGGTTCTCAGGCAGCAGGTGGCAGGCAGCAATGGCTTAAGCTTCCAGTGAGCAAAGTATCAGCGTGGACAGCAGCCAAGGCCCTGCCGCAGGTAGACATCTAGTCTTCTCACGCCACTATCCTACAGCTCAGAACCCAAACATTCCCACGACCTCTTCAAGTGCAGAAGGTCGGTCAGAAGGGGACAGCCACCTGTGGGACCTTTACCACAATAACATTAGCACAGTGCTGTCAGAAATACCCTACTGAAATGGGTCAAAACCTCACCACACCCTTTCTCGTCTCCAGAGTTCCCTTTGTCCCTCTCCGTATCCACCCACAAGTTCTCTGAAGTCAAAAGAACTGTATGGCACAATGATCTTCCTGCCATGATCATACCTGGGAATACGTAATATCCTGTCTCCATTTTTTTTCTGCCCATAAAAAGTAAATTTTGATATAAGCAAACCGAGAGGTTAATTTGAATAACAAAAAAACCTACTTAAGAAACTTTATAAAAAAAAAAATGACCAGTTTAACTCAATGTCAATCATGGCTGGCATTTTATCGACAGTGACACTTTACAGAGACTGAGAGCAGGCCCTCCTCCCCCATCATGTCCTTTAAGAAACAGGTAAGTTCAACCAGTTATGAATCTCAGAAGGTCAAACAAATACCACAGCAGCATTTTACTTAATGTGACAATCCAGACGTAACAGGATGCTGTCCCCATGGAAACCCTTGCCCTTCCTTTAGGCACTGCAGGAATGGGGAAGTGGTACCATAGTGTCTTCAGTCATCCACCCTTCTCAGAACTGAAAGCCTGAATCGTGTTGGCACCTCTCTGGAATGACACTGTCCAATCCAGCAGCAAACACAGACACAATTGGATTTAAAAAAAAAACAAAACAAAAAAAAAACCAAAAAACCTCTGGTTCCCTAAGCATCTCTTCTAACTCAACATCTCACCTCGGGCATCGCAAGTAAACATGGCAGAATTTCACACAGGAATTCGATAAAGAGGGGCAGGAAATCGACTTTTTCCTCAGAGTCCAATTCCTCACTGCCTTATGCACAGGGTAATTTAAATTCAGACTTGCACCATCCCCAGATGTGAAATTTACACGGAGTCTCCTCAGAAGCCAGTAGTACAGTGAAAAAACAATGCTTGTGAGCCAGCGGTCTTGGGACCATGGCCTTTTCTGGCGTGCGTGTGTGCAACTGAATATCCTACATGCTCCAATTTATAAATGGCCCATGTCTGCTTTACTGAATCAAGTTTGGCTCCCAGCACCCACATCAGGCAGCTAACAACTGTTTCTAACTCCAGCTCCAAGAGAACCCATGGCTCTGGCCTCCTCTGACACCCACATGCATACGTCAACACCCCCACACAGGCACATTAAAGGAAAACTAAGCCCACCGTTATCTACATATTTACATCTAACACTAAAATGGAAGAACACACTTTTATAAACTGTTACTAATAATAGTAGGGGGGGAAAGGGCCACTTTTACTTCCGATCAAAACCAAATGAAATGGATGGACCAACAGGCAATGATTCCTGGCTAGTTCAAATCAAACACCCAGTGGGCATGATCGGGCTGCGAAGGTGTATAGGAAACCATAGAAAATCTGGTATTCCGGTGTGCCGTGACTTGAATTTGAACCTTCAGACTGTACTTGAGAATAACTTCAAGGAAGGTTTTCGTTTTCTGTTCAATGGGATGTTAGAACTCTGAAAAATCTAAGGCGGCTAGAGTTTGAAGAAGCAAAGGTCATGGCAATGAGGAAGGTGAAGCAAAAAGTTGTCATGCTTTTTTTAAAGAGTTAAAAAAAAACCTTTAAAAAGTAAACAGTTTTGGTAGGTACGTAAGTACAAATGAGTTTTTAAAGCGATGGAGCCAGGTCCGGAGAACACTTCAGTGTACTCTGATCTCTGAGACCACAAAAAAAAAAAAAAAAAAAAAAAAAAAAAAGGCAAGAGGACCGGAATGCTGAGATAGGCAGAGACGGGACGCGCACACAGTACACAGCGACACTAATAACGTAATCCTTTACCTGGAGAGACAGGCAGGGTTGCTCATGCTTGTGACAGTCAGAACTTTAGAGGCCGGGGCAGAAGGATTGCAAGTTGGAGGCCAGACCGCACACAAAGAACCAAAACCAAAACCAAAGGCCAGCCTCGTTTACACACTCCCAGACCCCCAGCACAGACAACCGAGACGCCACTCCCGACACCTCGGGGTGCTCCGACTCCAACTGAGCGCCGAGCGGCCTTACATTAAAATCGGCAAACTCGGTAGAAACTGAAAGGGGCGGGCAACAACCGAGGTCCTTGCGAGGGGGCGTGGGGCGGGCTGGAGCCCGGGGTCCTTGCGAGGGGGCGTGGGGCGGGCTGGAGCCCGGGGTCCTTGCGAGGGGGCGTGGGGCGGGCTGGAAGCAGCGGCAGCGTCTGAAAGCGATCGAGCAAGCGCAGCCAGCGCTCTCCGCGGGCCCCGCACCCCAGCCCCGCAGGGGCCCGGCCCGAGTGCAGGCGGGACGGCCCGGGAACTTCGTCCTCCGGCGGCGGCTCCACCCGAGCGGGCGCAGGCCGCCCGTCCCTCCCTCCGTCCCTCCGTCCCTCCGGCCGCCGCCCCACGCCGCGCTCGCCCCATTCATTGCGGGCGCGGAGCAGAGGCTGCGGCGGGAGCGCGGCCGACGCGGGGCCCCGGCAGCGCTTACTCTGCGTGTCGGTGAGGGAGATCATGGCGGCGGCGGCGTTGGCGGCGGCGGCCGCGGTGCCTCGGGGCCCACGCTGCGAAGCCGAGTCCGGAGAAGAGCCGCGGGGACGCCGCCCGGCCCGAGCCGCCACGTCTTCCGGAAACACGCAGCCGCCGCCGCCGCCCGGCCGCAAGGCCGCGCCCCATTGGCTGCAGCCTGGCCAATGGGGCGCGTTCTTGTTGGGATGGCCGCGCCGCGCCGCCAATCAGAGAGGCTCTGGCCTGTGATTGGTGCACGGGGCCGTCCCGGAAGGGTGGGCGCTGCGGGCCGGTGGCGGGAAGGGTTTTTATTTTATTTATTTTATTTTTTTCCACGGCGGAGCGGCTGTCAGGTGCGTGGGAGCCGGGCCTCGCCGCCGCCGCCAAGTGCTTCCACCCCCCTTGTGGAGGCAGCGGCGTGGAGGGACGCGCGCCGGCTTAGCTTGCGTTTTCCTCCCGCATCCGCGACCGTTCAGGCATTTGACTGACAGGCCTTTTCTCGGATGTATTGTGCGCCGAGCTATCTTTTACTGCAAAGTTACGAGGTTTGGGGGAAGGGGCAGGTTTTTGGCAACAAAATCCTTTTTTTTTTTATTTTTTTTTTATTTTTTATTTTTAATAATGGGAGGAAATGGACGTAGATCCATCGTTATCTCTCCTGAGCGAAGGGAGAGCGCCTGACGATTTCAGGTCCTGGAAAGGGCATTTTGCTAGGCTGTTTGATTACAAAAGTGAATAGAGGCAATCTATGCTCCGACCTCACAGCCCACGGACGGAATATTATCACGCTAGGAAGTGGTAAGGACATGCCGGTGTACACGAGGAAGGAGTCTTCACTTAGACTCATCCTTAAATGCCGGTAGCGATGTGTGGCCTCCATACCGTTTTAATCAAGGCTCAAACTGCCTTAACAGCCTTAACAGGAAGGGTGTGATTTGATAAAGCGAGAGGTCCAAGTGAGAACAGACATCTGTCTTTGGAGGGCGCGCTTAGTTTTAGCAAACTAAAACTAAGCTAAATATAACATGCTTTCTATTCTTCTTTTTTTAATGTAATGGTGTTCATAACAGTTTGGGGAAATGCACATTCAGGTTTAAGTTTTAACGATTAAAATTTAGTATCAGTTATGCTTTCTCCCATTTTTAACTATTCCAGATTCTTTTAAACCAATATGGTATTAGATGGTCTCTGCCTCCACCCTCTCTCTCTAAGTAAGCAAAGTTTACAGAGAAGTAGAGTAAGATCCCTGCAGCAGAGAGGGTCCTGAAAATCACCTGCTTGGAACACTAGCTTCTCTTAAGGGTGAATTTAACTGTAACTCTCTAAAGCAAGTGTTCAGTAAAATGCTAAGTGGTTGATCTATTTATGTTTTTGCTTAATCTGTGATATTTGAATCTAGCCTGCTTATTTGTGAGATAAGTCCTGCCAGACATGGCTGTACACACCTTTAGTCCTCTGTGGGTTGAGGCCATGAGTCCTGCCATCCAAGCTTTAAAGGCAGGGGGAAAGGGTTAGAGGAACAGCGTGTCGTGTTGCTAAGGTCCAATGGACCTGGTCGCAGGTCTATTTAATATATGACCTGTTTTTTTTTTTTTTTTTTTGCTATATCTGCAACTTTAGGACATTTGTTGAGTGGTGTTGACTTTCTGCTTGGCACCAAACAGATATTTGCTTTCTAACTCTTTTTGCACATAATAGTGACAGGTTGTCATTGACTGAGAATTATTCGTTGTATTGGTTTGGTTTGGTTTGCATTTTGTTTTGTGGTGCTGGAGATTAAACTGTGTAGCTGAACACCACAGGTTCACATGTTAGCAAGCACAGCTAAGACATGAAAGAGTGCAGAAGGATTTATTGCCACCAGGAGGCAGGGAGAACAGGGGAATTATTTTGAAAATGATGTTCTCCAGGAACAAAGTGAAGGTAAGGAATTGGTTAGGGAGGCCTGTTCGTATTCATGGGGCAGGAGAATTGGGATACATTCCTGCACATATCCAGGGTGCAGCAGAACAGATTTAGCTGATAGGAAATAAGACTTTGGAAGTGTGCTGCAGAGGAATCTGCCCTACCCCCCAATGCCTGCCTTGCCTACTGACTAATGCTTGTGCATGCTGAACAGGACCTGTGCCAGCCTCCACAGTATTGCTGTTAGAAAATGTTGCCATATTTGTTCTTCACTTTTAGAAGGACGTTTGGATCTCCAGTTCCGTTTTAGAATGGCATCTGTCTCAGGTTAGTGAATGAAATTATGCTTTGTATGTTATTTTGTCCTACTTTGATTTGCTCTTTGATTAAAAAAAAGTTTGAACAGTTATGATTTTAGAAATGATTTTTTTAAAGCTGTTTTATTTATGTGCACAACAGGATTTCCCATTTCAGTATTAGTGAACAAATAGGTCACTGATGGTTGTCTATCTCCAGAACCTTCTTACCACCCCAGATTGAATGTTGGTCTACTAAGCTCCTTACACTTCTTTTCCTCCAGCCTGGAGACTTACTGTTCTCCTTTCTCTCTCTAAACTTGACCTTTTAGGGGCCTCACACACAGGGGTGTCTGTTAAACCTCGCATGGCATTATGCCTTCAAGGGAATGTGTGTCCAAGTATTTTTCCCCTTTAAGGCCCACGCTGTTCCATTGACTGTATGTGCTTTTGCCCATTCTTCTGCTGATGGCAACTAGAATAATTCTGATATGACTTTCGGTATAGAAATGTCTTAAATACCTCTTTACATGGGCTTTTAAGTGTGTGTGTGTGTGTGTGTGTGTGTGTGTGTGTGTGTGTGTGTCACAGCATCCGTGGAGAGGTCAGAGTGAAATATTCTGGAATCAGTTCTCTTACCACTGTGGATTCAAGGGATAGAACTCAGGCCATTAGGCAGTGTCACAGTAAGCACTACCCGTTGAGCCATCTCACTGGCCATCTCTCCAGTTGTTTTGAGTGTGTACCTAGAATTGGACCTACTGAGTCAAATGATAATTTCATGTTTAATGTTTTGAGGAGCTGGTGTTGTTTTGCACAGTGACTGCATTGATGTCTAGGAGACTGAGAACAGATAAAGAAGGAAATATAAATCACTCATAACCCCAGTGCTCCAGTTAATATGAATGCTGACAACAGTTTTATGATTTTTCAACCAAATTTTTAACAATTTGTACAGTTTTGGAGTGTGATATGAAAAATAAAAACATACAGACTACAGATGTCTACATTATGTAGCTTAATTATTCTATTTTTAATGCCTAGAATGTGTGGCTTTTTAAAAACTGACCTTACTTATTTGAACTCTATCCATTTGAACAATATGAGTAGCGCCACATTGAACATATTGGAATCTAAAGCTTCCTGTGGCTGTCTGAGTACTACCTTAAGTTCCAGAAGCAGTCCCTACATTATGCACCTCCCCCAGATCAGCTGCCAGCGCGTTGATGTATTTCCCTTTATTGCGGGTTTCACATGGTCAGACTGTGCTGTGATAGTGAGATCTTGTGCTTGGTTTGATTGGCGGGTGACCCACTGGCAGGGGCAGGGAGCTTAAAGGAGGGTGGTTCTCCAGCCTTTTCTGTGGTGTAGTGGTTATGGCCCTTGCTGCACACTACCCTACCAGCTGGGAAACAAGACTCAGTTCTCTTTAGGAAAACACTGAGCATGGTTTTCGTCTGTATCCAGCACACCCTGCCACACAAACTGGCATACAACGTTACAATTTGCCTAAGTGTAAGTGTGGACATACATCCACCCATGTTTTGGCTTCATTTCAGGACCCATTCTCACAGCCTTGCAGGTTAGTGATCAGTGGTAGCAGTTTGTTTAGTCCTTACCCAAGTGGTCTTCATGGAAAAGATGAGACTAACAGGTGCTGTTGGACAGAGACTTACTTTTGTCCTGTCTGGATTCCACATCTTACCTCACTTATCCAGACTTAAGCTCTCCCGATGCCAAATAATGGAGCAGATGCACTCTAAGAAGTTAGTCTACTTCCTCTGCTGTTCTATCCATCTGTTGATCTGTATTTGAAACACCCTTTGAAATGGCCTTTGGTTTGTTGTTTAATATGCGTTGGGAGGGAACCACTTGTTAGTTTCCGCTTGGGACATTGCTAGAACACCCACACAGGGACCACACACAATCTCAGGGACTCTGGGGTGTGACCCACTCTCATGAACATGCTCTTGAGATAAAAAAAAAGTAGCAGCAGTATGCACCCTGCACTTATCCTTGTTCGCCCTTGTGGCTTGCCGAAGTCATTCGCTTGAGTATTACTCGCACCTGCAACCTGCATCGTATAGGCTAGCTATAGAAATAGTATCGTTTTGAGTGTGTCTCAACACCCAGATTTTCTTATCTGGTCCATCAGGACTTTGCGTAAGGGTTGCCAGGGCTGACTTCGTTTCGGTAATACCTGGATGAGGCAGAATTTGGTCAGGGAAGCAGAAGTGCCGTGTCTGTTGAATGGGATTCACTGCAGTGATTAACCCCTACATGACTGTGGAAGTAGTTAAGCCCTCTGTGTTAGCGGTGTGACTGACACCAGGCCTGAGGTATCTGGAAGGCAAACAGAATGAGAAGAGGCCTAGAGCGGGGGAAGGGAAGGCAGACCACTGTCTGTGAAGATGGGCTGTTAGTTCTTACACGGCTCGTCCCATGGCTCTCACACAGTTGGGGAGAGGGGAGACTGTGGCAGAGCTGCTGTGCTTTTGCCCACAGCCTGGCTGAAGGTTCAGAGAGCGGAGGAGGATGTGCTCTGCAGGCCCTGCTGCTTTCCTGAAGTTATCTTCCATGCCAGGAAGACAACTAGCCCTGATCTGACACTCATCTAGAGTTGTAGATGTGGAAAGGAGGGTTCTCTAGGACTTGACGGCGAAGGGGATGCTGGGCAGTGTAGTTCTACCCCGGCTAAGGCAACACAGCACAGCTTCCACCACTTGGTCTCTGCCTTAATTGGACTCACAAAGGCAGTGGTGCAATCATGCTTCTGCCATGGAGAAACTCTGCCTTGTGGAGCCTGCCAGAGAGAGCACCGATTCGCCTTTATCATCCCAGCTACATCCTCTTGGTTCCCTTGAGACTGGCTCTCAGCCTGATGTAGGAGGTTAACTTCTTCAGTCGTTTGTTAGGTGTTTGGGAAATAGGAGAGGAACCGGGAAATCAAAACCAGAGAGCCACAGGTGCAGCCAGTAGGCAGGCCACAAAGTGAAGGAGAAAGGCGTGGTGTGCGTGCCTTGTTCCTGGTGGTCGGTGGTCAGGGTTGGTGTTTTAGGGTTGCCCTCCCCAGCTTTGCCCTTGAGCTGCTTGTGGTTTGTTTCTAGGCTAGGACTTCTCTTATTGGTGTGCTTCTTTTGCAATAGCTGTATCACGGGAATGTGGGAATGTGGGGTGCCCCTGGAGCCCTGGTTTTGACACACTTTATTTCTATAGGGTGATAGTGGCTCACCCTCCCCTGAGTACTCAGGGGTCACTTTCCCTGTCCAGCTCAGCCTGTCTTGTCTGTTGCCTTTCTATCTGCAAGTGCAGGCCTTCAGTTTCAGTACCTAGAGCCTCGAGGCCAGCAGCATCCAGGGTTTGAGGAAGACTGGCAATTTAGTGGCTCACTCAAGGTCAGAGCAGGAGGGGCCACTGCTTCCTAAGGCCACAGCACAGGTGTCAGTATTCTCTGTCATGGAGCAGACCATGCCTGTGTGTGCGCGAGTGTGCGTGCGTGCGTGTGTGTGTGTGTGTGTGTGTGTGTGTGTGTGTGTGTGTGAGAGAGAGAGAGAGAGAGAGAGACAGAGAGAGAGTGAGCCAGAAACAGAAACTACTCCAGCCTTTAAAGTATCGTTAGCCGGCACTAGAGCGGATTTTTTTTTTTTTTTTACAAGTGTGCATGAGTGAGGCTCTTCTGTTGTAGAACTGTTGTAGAAGGTTCCAGTGTTGTGTCTGCCTGCTGCCAGGCAGCTGGTCCTCTTAAGAATGGTGCCACAGAGGAGACCCAGGGAGTGTGTGCTGTCTGTGGGCCGGATAGTGAGTGACCTGTGTGGAACCAGGCGAGTGGATGTCGGTGCTGTAACACAGGCGGCTTGTTAAAGAAGGGGCTTAGGGGTTGCGTTACCCTTTATTAATGTCAGAATCTGCACAGTAATCAGAAGACAGGACGAGGACTCTGGGCCAAGTCAGTGGCTGCTCCGCTGTCCCCGGTGGGTCCCACTCCGCTGCTGCCACCGTTTCCTCGTTCCCAAGGGGTGGAGACCCCGAACCAAGCCACTAAGTGCGGCTGCTCCCGTGGCTCACTGTCCGTCCATCCACCTCCCAAGAGTGTGCGACCCAGGGCAGCCCTTGCCTTTTATTCTGGTGGTACACGCTTCGATGCAACCCCTCCTTCTGGGCCAAACGGCTGTTGGCCAGCGGAGCAGTGACGGAATTCCCAACAGTTTGTGCTTGGCCTTGTACAAGAGTGGCCTTGACCGATGTCCGGATGCTTTTGTCCATCTGATGGGTTAGCGTCTTCTTTGTTATTGTTCGTGGGCATGCGCATCTTCTCAGTTACGCCCCTGTGGAGTTCCTGTACAGTCCTCCCCAGGCTCTGTGCCACTTTTCTAGGGTCCCTCTTCCCCAGCCCTGACCATCTTGCCAGGCGGACGCTGGAACTGTACAGTGCAGATCTATACCGGAGCCTGTGTGAGGAGCCATGTGAGCACCGCCTGAGGGCCTGTAAACTACAACTCTCTCCTTGTTCTTCAGGGACCCTTGAAATATCCCTGCTCCTGTTTGGACTGTGCCAGTGTGTAGTGAGGTAGTCCTTCTGTAGCACTGACCACGCCCATTGGGGGGTGGAGCGATGGGCGGAGGTGACCTGAGGAAGAAGGTCAGAGGGGGCCAGGAAGGCGCTCTTTCTTTCTGGCGTGACTCGGACAGGAGAGGATCGGGTTGAATTTCCTGGTGTTCATCTGTCTAGGTTGTAAGTTATTTCTCCCTGAATAAACATCTATTCGGCCTATTTGTTTATCCTGATCCTTATTTACCGCAATACCAGTGTGTCACACAGATTCTTCTACGAGTTGAACCTGTGTTGATTTTCTTCCTCAGTCCAGTAGTCAGAATCTAGTGTCAGGAACTCCCTGAGAGGTCGCCATAGGCTCATGAGGTTCATGAGGGGCAAGATAAGCTTGTACCCCTGTTCTTGTGGAGCGTTGTAAGTTCAAGGCCAGCCTAGGTAAGTCAGTGAGAGCCTGTCTCAGTACAGAGAGGATTTGGGCTGTCGGTCAGGCTGAACTGCATGTGTGGCTCACCCGAGGTCTTAGGTGCAGCACCGTGTGATGAAGTAGCAATAACAACAGTAAGATAGTATGGGTAACTGTGCAAGTCAGGTAGGTCCCGGCGCCCGGTTAGCTGTGCCAGCAGTGAGGAAGGGCGCTGGTATGAAGCATGGGAAGGTAAGGGTGCATTCAAACCTGCACGGGTGGGCTGCATCCTGTACGATAAGCTGGAACTTAGGAGGACAGCATGGGACTCACCTGGTGCTCATTGGGACTTGGATCCCATGCCAGCATGTCCAGGATGCTATGTCCTGCTGAAGACCTCAGCCACACAGATGTGCAAACAAACCTGCTCCAAATTTCCAGAACACAGAGAAGTCGCAGGCCACTTGCTGTCCACGGCTTCTGACCCATGGCAACAAGGGCACCAGCAGGTACCTGACCCCATGCCTGCCACCCCAGTGTGGACCTGACAGCTGCTGCTCTCCTTCCTTTCAGATCATGACCACAAGACTTCATCCCAGGAAGAGGCACTAGACTAGACTGATGCATGGGCAGATGCGATAGCTTTAAATTTTCCCTTGCTGCCATTGGCGTGGCACGGTTTCACTGTGATTTCAATACTTGCGTTGACACCTGACTTTAATGGTGGATCTTCACACAGAGGCTTCATAGGTTTTTCACGGTGATGTTATGGAGCGGGTTACCACAGCACTGGTTTTCATCATGTATCCCATTGAATTGTTTGTGATTGGCAGGCTGTTATCATGCCACTGCTCAGCTGCAGCGTGGAGGCTTCTGTGAAGTAATGGCTCAGTCATCAGGTGGCTTGCTGGGGAGAGGCCCAGGAGCCTGTGACAGCAGTTCTGAGTGACATACAGGAACGGTGTCATTAGTACATGCTTAGCTTCTGCCAAGGTCCCTGAGGAGAACGTCCCGTGTGTCGTCCCTTTCAGCTTTTCCTATCTGTACTTTGTTCTTAATTGGACATTCTGGGCATTCAGTGGAAGGGAAGATTGAGGTGTTTGTGGCGAGGGTTTAGCAGGGAGGGGGACTGATTAACCCTGTATCTGTGACTTTAGAACGCTCTTAGCCCTCTGCTCTTTTAGGCTTGTAATTTAGACAGGAATTTCCAAAACCAATAGGGAATCTCGTACTGTCCGTTCGTTCTATCTGACCTCCCCCCCCCCCCCCCCGCCCTTGTCTACCCGCTGCAGCGCTAACAGAGGAATTGGAATCTGTAACCAATGAGCTCCATGCAATTGACATCCAACTTCAAGAACTTACAGAGAGGCAGCAAGAGCTCCTTCAGAAAAAGTCAGTCCTGACGAAAAAAATCAAGCAGTGCTTGGAGGGCTCAGACGCCGAGGAGGGCAGTGACTGTGACTCTTCACCGGCCCAGTGGAACAGAGAAGGTTTGCCAGTCTCGTGCCTTCTGGTGGCTTTAATGTAGTCCCATCACTCCATGGGGACCAGTCTGTCCCTGGGGATAAAGGTGGCTCTTGTGGGGCATGGGGACCTTGCAGGTAGAACATTCTTTATCCAGGTCCATGGTATTTTATATGTAGACTTGAAAATTGGGGTTTTCTCTGCATATGGTTTTAGTAGCAGTCCCCAGTGTCTAAAAAGTGAATAGAATATCAGCTAAATGTTTAAGTATTAACTAAAACAAAGAGAAAAAGTTAGCCAAAACCTTGCCATAGTGACCCCCCCCCCTTTTTTTTTTTTTTTGAGACAGAGTCTCTACGTAGACATAGCTGTCCTGGAACTCATTGTGTAGAACAGACTGGTCTTGAACTCACAGAGGTCTGACTGCCTCTGCCTTCTAAGTGCTGGGATTAAAAGCATGTGCCACCACACCCAGCCCAAAACAAACCATTCTTAATTTACAATAGTGGGTGACGGGCTAGAGAGATGGCTTGGTGGTTAAGATCACTGATTGCTGGGTTTGGTTCCCAATGCCTACATGGTGGCTCACAAACATCTGTATCTCCATTCCCAGGGTGTCCAGATGTTTCTAGGCATCACGCACTCACATGGTACACAGACTCATATGCAGGCAAATACCCATACATCTAATGAAAACAATTAAAATGCTGTACAAAACATTTATTACTAACTTTAATGGGATATTTCTAGAAATTATATTTGTGTGTTTGTGCTTATGTAGATTATTTTCTGGTACTGGTCTGTAAATGCAAAATATTTACATCCAAATTTGAGTTTCGTTGAGTTCATTCATGCCTGAGGTTATAGGGTACTATAACTAACTCTCTAGTCACCGTTAAGACTGTCTTCCACGAGCCTGCCTGACTGAGCACGACCCCCTTCATGTGCGCTAATTTCAGTTACTGGCTAGTGTTTAATTGGTTTCTGTTGTAATAACCATATAGTTGTCAATATGCTTTTGTTTTGACTACTTATTTGTATTAATCACAATTAGTCACAATATTATTATAAACATTTGGTGGTTCATAGATGTTAAATGTTTTATATATGTGTGATTTGCATATGGTCTGGTGGCTTTATGAAAACTGAACATTTATATGCATTTCTCATTTACAGTCCTGATCATTCTAATCTGTTAAGCCTATTTTTTCTCTTTCCAGATTTCCCATGGTCTGGGAAGGTTCAAGATGTGCTGCAAAATGTTTTTAAACTGCAGAAGTTCAGACCCCTGCAGCTGGAAACCGTCAATGTCACCATGGCTAAAAAGGACATCTTTCTGGTCATGCCCACAGGAGGTGGGAAGAGCCTGTGCTACCAGCTGCCAGCGCTGTGCTCAGATGGTATGTACAATAGGAGGGCTGACGTCTAAGCCACTGGAAATACTGTCGCATTAGACTGTCTTCGTTGGCCTGTGAGCACTGGAGAAGGGACTTGTTTGAGGCTAGGGAGGCAAACGCTGAAGTTGTTGGGTGTGTGGCCTTCACAGTGCTTAGAGGCCTGCAGGTTGGCCGGGGTGGGAGGAGGCCTGGCGTGGGGTCGCGCTGGGCCATGAGCTAGGCTGACGTAGTATGTGTCTGGGGCCGCTGGAGTGAACTGTGTCCTCCCAAGTGGCTTGAGGAGAGAGCAGGGCTTCAAGTATTCAGTTCCAAGGCTTTCGGGGGACAGTGGTGCTGAGGCCACTGCAGGTGTCGAGGGTTTCTGAAAGATGACGGACACACGGCTATGTTTAAGTGTAACGAGTGTGTGTGCCTAGCGAGGAAGCAGGTGACAGTGTGGGAGAGAGTGGCTGAAAGGCAGGAGCCTCTTCAGGTCCTACTGGCAGTGGACAGATGTGTCTAAGTCAGGCTCTTCTCCGCCACGTTACCGTGAGGAGCAAACAGCAGAAATGCAAAGTTGTGTCATTTTCACAGCGTAACGTGACTTACAGATTGAAGTGTGTTCAGCCACTGCTGCTCACGGGCATGCACTCGGGCTGACTGTCTGCTGTGCAAAGAGAAGTCCACGTGTGCCTGGCATTTGCAGCAGCATAGACTGCTCCTCTGGGCAGGGTTGGGGTAATTTTTCTCTGCTAAAGTGCTTTAGTGCTAGGCCTGGTGTGTGCTACTTCATTGAGATTGTCTGTATTGGTTGTTAAAGAGGGTAACAAATTCAAAACAGTGAAATCTGCCTTTCTATGGGATTTAAGAAAGGTAGAGGTTTCTATTGTCTTAAAAATGTGTTTGTGAGTGTATGTCTGTGTCCACATTCGTGTGTGTGTGTGTGTGTATGAGTGTGTCTGTGTCCACATGCATGTGTGCCTGTGTGTGTGTCTGTCCACATGCATGTGTGTATGTGAGTATGTGTGTGTGAGTGTGTGCCTGTGTCCACATTCGTGTGTGTGTGGGTATGAGTGTCTTTCCACATGCATGTGTGCCTGTATGTGAGTGTGTATCTGTCCACATGCATGTGTGTGTGAGTGTGTGTGTGTGTGTGTGTGTGAGTGTCGTCTGTGTCCACATGCATGCGGGAGTCCTGTGAGCTCAGAAGAGGTGTTGGATCTCCTGCAGTTAGAGTTACAGATGGTTGTGAACCACCACGTCTGGGAACTGAATCCTGGTGCTGTGTGAGTCTCAGCTCTGAACTGCTGAGCCATCACTCCAGCCCAATATTTTATATTTTATTTGGCTTACATTCATCTTGTTTGGTCATTTATTTTGCCCATCTCCCTTATTTATGAGGCTAAGAAATAGTTAGGCTGATAAATCTGCATCAACAACTGCCTGAATAGTGGGTGGGTCCCACAGGCTACAGGATGAGTATTGCCGCGCCCATCATGGTGCGAGTGTGAAGTTGAAAGTAGGGTTTGTTTTTTTCTCTTTTAGGTTTTACACTTGTGATTTGCCCACTCATCTCTCTCATGGAAGATCAGCTGATGGTTTTAAAGCAGTTGGGAATTTCAGCTACGGCGTTGAATGCCTCTAGCTCTAAGGTATGTGAGTACGGCTTGGGTTTTCAGTTATAAACTCTTGCCTGATTTGGGTCTCAGCTGTGTCCGACAGTCACAATCTTATGCTCACAGGCTAGTTCTGGACACTGTCTGTTTTTGTATACCCCACTCATTAAGAAATGCCCTTTATACTCATGAAGATGGGGAAAAGAAAAGCAGCCAAACAGCAGTGAAAAGCAGCAGTGTTTTATGATGTAAAGTCATGGAGATTTTGGGTTCAGTGTCCGGGAGTAAACTTGGAACCGGCAAGCTTATTTTCTTAGGCACTGCTTCATCCTGCAGAGTTGAGAGGCGGTGGTGAGCACACTGTCCACATGCCAGCCTTCCCCATGCCTAGCACTTGGGAGGGTGCATCTGCTGTAAAGAGCAGGGCGGGCCTGTGGAGATGGCTCAGTGCACAGTGCTTGCAGCACAAGGGCAGGCTGAGTAATTCCAGGACACGTAGTCCTAGAGCTGGGGAGCGGAGACGGGAGGCTCTGGAGCTTGCTGGCCTAGCCTAGCCTGATGGATGAGCTCAAGGCTTAGCGAGAGGCAGCCTCATATCAAAGTGGAGAGTGTAGAAGAGGAAACTACTCTGACTTCTGATGTTGGCTCCTTGTAAACATCTCCACATGTGTACAACACACATTTACAAATAGCAAAGAAGAACCTTTAGTCTAGTTTAATATAGAAAATGAGTTACTAAGAACACGTGTGGGGGTGGATCATCTTATCCTTATCTGTAAGGACAGACCACTTCCAAGATGTTCGTTGCAAATTCCATTCTCCAACTCTTTAAAATACACAAATTAGTGTCAATAATAAAAAAAGGAAAAAGAAGTTGCCATATAGTTGCCATTTTTCATCTGTACTCTTAACCCCTTGATTTATTAATAAAACAAATCCAAGGCCTTGGGTTCTGATTGGAAGTTTTTCAGAGTTTTATCTTGTTTCACTCATTTGTGTCAGTGGAGTAGGGCATGAACACACCACGGTGCTTACATATATGCAGGTCAGAAGGCAGCTTGCAGGGGTCACTCTCTCCTTCCATACTGTGTTTCCTGAGGATCAAACACAGGTTCTCAGGTTTGGCAGCAGACTCCTTTGCCTGCTGAGATATCTTGCTGGCCTGTGTGCAGACCTCTAATGAAGAGAAAAGAGAAAGCTCAGTACAACACTGAACGCATCCTGTCTAAAGTATGATACGATAGAATGTATACGGTGAGTGTACCCAAGAGCCTATGTATTTATGTATTTAAATAGGTTGATAACATTATTAAATTAGCTGTAATTTAAAAATATTTTTATTGATTGGTTTATAATTATAAATGTAATGAACGCACTTGTAAAACCTACCATTATGGCCACAGCTACTGTATTACACATTTTGGGTTCTATTAACAATTTAAATTATACACATTATTGGAGAATTTTGTCACATTCATGTTTCTCCCTCTTTTTTTTTTTTTTTGCCAAGTAACTGATTTTATCTTCAGCCATCTGGAGTAAGTGAGTAACTAGAATACTGTCTGCGCGGCTGCCATGAAGCTTCCAGATTGATGTGGCTTCGGTTTTAATGAGCCAACATCTGCTTCAGGAAGAGCCCCAGGCTGTTGCTTTTCAGTAATGAACACCCTTTTCTCACTTAGTACCCTGGTCCACCAGCTTGACTCTACAATGCTTGCTTCTGCTCTGCTTTAATAGGAACATGTGAAATGGGTTCACGCTGAGATGCTGAATAGAAACTCCCAGTTAAAGCTGATTTATGTGACTCCAGAGAAAATCGCAAAAAGCAAGATGTTCATGTCAAGGCTGGAGAAAGCATATGAAGCTGGGAGGCTGACCCGGATAGCAGTGGATGAAGTGCATTGCTGCAGCCAGTGGGGACATGATTTCAGGCCTGGTATGTATGTCTCTGTTGGGGACGGGGTTCTTGCTCAGCTCGACGTGGTGGTGAAAGTGCTTGCCCTTGTCCCCCCTGGCTTCTCATTGCAGCATCTCACATACTCATGCTAGCCTGTGAGATACCTGCCTTCTAGCCCGTGTTCATCGCTGGCATCTCCAGCCCCTTCCTGACTGTTTCTTATTTATTGAGGAATTTGCAAGACTTTAAAGCTGTTTCATCTTCCTGGGATTTTCAGTATCCCATCCAACTTGAACAGCTGAAGTTTGATGAGATGTTTTAGTAATACTTCAGCTGACATCGTAGTAATACTTCAGCTGCCAACTTAATCCTATAGTCATCCTAGAGAAAGTTAAGGACCTAGTTCAGTGTTCACTTTCCAGGTGTGTTTGAATCCCCAGGACCCATGAAAAGCTGACTCCAGTAGCTTGGCGCTCCTTTGTCAAGATGGGAGGGGGAGACAGGAGAATTCTTGGGAGCTCGTGGGCCAGCTTGCCAGGTGTAGACAGCACAGTAGCAACAACCTAAAAGACATTGCCTCAAATGCTAGAAGGTGAAGAACCAACACCTAAGGCAGTCAGTGACCTCTGCATGGATGTGTTCACACATACATCATACATGCATGCGTGCATACATGCATGCAGTTTTATATTCGTTTTGTTCTGGTTTTTGAGATAGGCTATCTCTGTGTGGTCCTGGGACTCACTTATGTAGACCACTGTGGCCTTGAGATCACAGAGATCTGCTGTTTCTGCCTGAATCCCCCCCTCCCCTTTGCTGGAATTAAAGGCATGTGCAATCATATCTGGCCACAACTTTAAATTAAGAATTCTTATTCCCTGGCTTTGGCCACTTTTCCTTCTGGGGATTTTCACTCTAAAGGACCTGGGTCAGCCTGCCTGTCTGTCCCCGGCCTCTGCTGCATTTGCCCTGGACTGTGGTCATCCCACCAGCCTGTGTCAGATAAGGGGCTGCTTTCCCATTCCTGATGTCGATGTTACAGCACCATTTTCCACCACAGCTCAGCTTTCCATCGGGCAGTCAGTTATCCTGTTAGCTGTCTACAGTCCTTCCAGCAAGTTCCACCTCTCAGCATTTGAGTGGTTGACACTGGTCACACCCACCACCTTCTCCCCTGTTTACTGTCATGTAACAAACACTGTTGGATTTCGTGCTAATTTTTTTGTCTCTTTCATTTTTTTCCTTAGATATCAGTGTTTTCTAGAGTTCTGTTCTATCGTTACCTTTCTTTAAATTTCTTCTGTGACAGTGCTCTTATGGCCCGAAGACTAATTTTCTAGTTTGTAATTTTTTTTTCTTAAATTTCAACCCCAGAACTCCATTACCTTTAAAAAAAATTTTTTTCTTTTAAGATTTATTCATCATATATATCAGTGTTTTGCCTTTGTGTGTTATGTTCACCTTGTGTGTTCCTGATGCCTCAGAAGGCAGAGAAGAGAGTCTTAGATCCTCTGGACTGGACTGAGCTACCCTGTGGGTCCCAGGAATTGAACCCTGTTGAGCAGCTAGTGATTTCAACTGCTAAAGCATCTCTTTAGCCCCAGAGTCCATTATCTCAACCATGTTGCCATAGCTCAGCACTGAAGACATCTGGTATGGGCCTTAAAACAGGCTTTTCTCTTTGTCCAGTATTTGCTTGTTCTAGCATGATCTTTGCAGTGCTATTCAATATTTATTTCTGAAATGTAAGTCTGTTATGTTCTTTGTCTGACTTGAAAGTTATATGATGACCCCTCATGCCCTATCACATAGAGTCCTGGCTTCTTAGAACAAACTGGCTGTGTTGTTCTTAGCCTCACAAAAGCCTGATTTTTACATGAATGTTTCAGACAGAGTGCAGGCAGAAATCAGAGGCATTGTGAATGTGACAGGATTTATGTAGATGGGACATAGACCTTGCACAGCTGTAGGAAGAACTGAGCACAGGCTGGTAGGAAGAGGGAAGCTGGAGGACCAGCAGGTAACCCTAGAGTACTTTCCTGAGCATTGTGAGGGAGGTCGAATCAGGGCTGAGTGTCCAGGGGGCCTCAGTGGGAAGCTGATGGAGAGCCCTCTGAGGTCTTGTCCTCTAAGTAGCATCTGTGGAACCTGCTGTAAGATTCTACCACTGTTGGATGTCAAAGCTTACCCTTGGAAGAGGAGTCCAAGGAAGAATGGAGAGTTAGGTTGACTAGAACTTGCCAGGAACATGTTCAAAGACAAGCTGCTCTTGGTACTGTATGTGGACGAAATTCTGGGACATAGAAGTCCCTGAATGTATTGGACAGTGGGTTCATCCAGATTATACCCTGTGATCTGGCCCCTGAATTGCTTGCTGGGTAATTCCCACAGTAATTAGCACTATGCTATCTTCCTGTTTGGCCCTGTGTCTTCTTCCAGACCTGACACAAACGCTATGTCTGAAGTCTTCAGCTTCCTAGGCAGTCATCTTCTCCAGTGCTCACTTTTTACCCCATTTCTTTGTCAGTTTCTTCCAGTACTGAAGGGGAATAAAGGACCGCTCTTGTTATGATTGCATGTGTGACAGGTATCAGCCTGAATGGTGTCTCTACAACAGGTTCTTCCAAAAGCAGAGGCCTTACCTTGTCTTCTGCTCTGAACTGCTACTCTGGGGTGACCAGGTAGTAGATCTGTGATGATCACACAAATGACTGATGGCTTCATCTAGCTTGCTGGTTGTGATAGATGAAGTGTTCTGATTTTCCCACCGACTCTTGAGCTATTGTTTAACAAGTATACCACAGTGCACCGCTTGACAGCATGCCGTGTGCCCCTTACTGCATGACCTTTTCTAGGACTATCACTGCTATTCAACCCAGATAGAGAAAGTCATGACACATCAAAGAGACAGTCCCACACAAGCCCAGCTTGGTGAAGCAATACAGGAACATGACTGATTTAGAGCTGTCACTGGGAAGCTCAGGCCAGCGTGGGTGACGACTCACGAATGATGCAGCACAGGCGTCCTGGGTAGGTTTACTGGCAGTACACTACTGGAGAGCCTCCCTCCTCCCAGCAATTGTTTACTTACATAACCTCAGGGAGAGACCTTTGCAGCCATGTGAGTTTCTTGAGCCCGAATGGCCTCCCACAAATGTTTCAGTCCAGAGGAACTATCTGCACAACACCTGCTCTTAACAGACCTCTGTCAAGAACATTATTTCTGAAGAAAAGTGCAGTAAAACCTCTAAATTCAAGAGTGGCAGGCCCTTCAGACATAGTTAACTCTGCAAGTAAAACTGGGAGCCATTGCTCCTCTGTGTGGTGTTAATCATCTGATTTACCCTCATTCTCTGAGGGCTCACAGAGAGACAGACTGTGTCATCTTTTTCAGATTATAAGGCACTTGGCATCTTGAAGCGCCAGTTTCCCAACACCTCACTGATTGGGCTGACCGCAACAGCAACTAACCCTGTTTTGAAGGATGCACAGAAAATCTTGTGTGTGGAAAAGTGTTTGACTTTTACAGCATCTTTCAACCGACCAAATCTTTATTATGAGGTATACAGTGGTTACTTATTTATAATGACAGAAAATATAAGCATTTTAATGTCATGAAGTAATTATTAGGACATTCATTAGTGCTTTACTTTATCTGTGTCTTGTGCAGCGTAATCCAATTAGTTGTGTTAAGTGATTCTGTCTTTTATATACAATTTGAGCAAGTGGGGTATATTTGTTAGACTCTTTTTTTGCACAAGGATTGAGAGCAAGGAGGGGTAAAATCAAGAGCCCCACTGACATCTGTGTAACCAAGTAATAGAAACATATGAACACACTAATGAGTTTGCCAGTATTTCCCATGTGGATTTTATCTGATACACATGCTTGGAGGTAAACTATCCCAGTGGCTTTCTGATTTCTTTCAAGCTGTGTTCGGGACAGGGTTAATCTCTGCATTTTTATTGCTTCATCCTGTGCTTCATGTTTTTATTAAAGCATCAGACAATAGAAAAGCATCCATCTTCACAAGCTATTCTATGCCTCCTCACTGTGGCAGATTAGGGACTGAAAATCAAGGAGAGAGGCTGGGCAGAGGCAGGAATGAGTCACGTGTGAGTCCTGCAAGGCCAGCAAGACTGACAGGAAGGGTCACTTCCCATGTGGACTCACACCTCAGAGGTTGTGTGGCAGGCACAACTTGGGTGTCACTGGTGAATCTACTTTTTAATGACACCGTTTTTTGTAGGTTCGGCAAAAGCCCCCGAATGCCGAAGACTTTATTGAGGACATTGTAAAGCTCATTAGTAGACGATACAAAGGGCAATCAGGTAATATAAAACAAGTCAGCTTGGGGGCATAAATCCCTCCAGTGGTACATGACTTATACCTGGAAACGAGATCAAATCTATTCATTTGGTCTCAGGGGCTATGTGTGGCATCCCTGCACAGTTGGAGTCAAAGCTGCGTGCATGCTTTGCCTGCTGTGGAGTAGGTCCGGTGACAGTATGGTTGACACGTTAGCTAGTATCTGTCGTGTACCTTGCTGTGTGAGCAGCGATATTCTGAAGAAGGGTCCTGTGCAAACCTGTGAAGCAAGGTGAAGTTGGGGACATCTATCCCTGGGTCCCTGAGCTAGGAACTACACCAGTGCCTAGAACCGTCCTCTGCGTGGTTAGCAGAGAGTAGTGGTATCTGGGAAAAGGAGTTCCTGAGTCAAGTCCGAGAGAGGCTGTAGGTGTTTTGTCCGTCCTGGAGTTTGTACCTGCACGCTAGGGGCTATCACCCTGCCCCCCTCCAAACACACTTGAAAAGGCCACTTTAACTGAATCTCAGCAGATTCTTCAAACTCACTCTTCAAAGCATCTCAGAGTTTATATCAGTTTAAGAAATGCTGTGTAGCGGGGATGAAGTTGCAGAGAGACCCTCTTTTGGTCATGGGGAACGCACAGGCTCATTTCTGCTTGGGCTAAGCTGGGCATCAACCTTGGATTATACCTAACAGTCAGTGTGTGTTCAGGGCCTTGGGCTTTCACAGCTCATCCCCCTTCCGCCTTGTAACAGATCAGGGTCTTGAGCATGGTGCAGATTACCTTCCAGGTCTGTGCCATGCATACATACTTACTCAGTGGTCATGTTTTACTTACTGCAGGGATAATATACTGTTTTTCTCAGAAAGACTCTGAACAAGTTACCATTAGTTTACAAAAACTGGGAATTCGTGCAGGCACTTACCATGCCAATATGGAACCAGAAGATAAGACCAAGGTTCATACACTGTGGTCAGCCAATGAGCTTCAGGTGAAGTATATGTATTTTCTATGAAAGCCTAAATTAACCTTTTAAAATATTTAAATGACTTAATTAACCAAGTATTAACACATTGTAGGTGGTAGTGGCTACAGTTGCATTTGGCATGGGAATTGATAAGCCAGATGTGAGGTTTGTCATCCATCATTCAATGAGCAAATCCATGGAGAATTACTACCAGGAGAGTGGGCGTGCAGGTATGTAGGACTCCAGTGCAGAAGTAATCTCTGGAGGCTTTGCAGAGGACATCTTAAGAATCGCCTGCGTTCAATGCTTGCTTTTGGTAGTAACTTTTAGAACAAATATTTTTAAAAACCAGATTTATACTTATTTGCACGCATTCTGTTGGGATGTTAAAAATTGTTTCTTACATGTTGTAAGCTATTATGATGTTCATGTCTACCCCTTGGAATTTTAATTAGTAGGTCCACCTATACAAGCTCAATAACTGGACCATTCATGGACATTCTTTTCTCTATATTAATAAGCTGATTTTTGATGAGCCTCTTTGTAGTCATTAAAACCTCAAGGTAGCTCTCACACATGAACTTCGTATTTATTGTGAAGCTGTCAGCCAATTGACATACACTTTTGCATGTTACGGATTTTTGAAAGTAGTGATGCAAACTCAAGATTCCTCAAAGCACAGGTCGCGATGACTCGAGAGCAGACTGTATTCTGTATTATGGCTTTGGAGACATATTCAGGATCAGCTCGATGGTGGTCATGGAGAATGTAGGACAGCAGAAGTTGTATGAGATGGTGTCATACTGCCAGAATATAAGCAAGTGAGCCATCTGCTTTCCTGTATGTAGCATGTCATGTGTGTGTTGTGTGGTGGTTGGGTACCTACTGAATACACTGCTGTTAGCACAGAGCACTGTGAAGGTAGATGCCTATAGTGGAGAGACCTGGACCCCTGAGTGCCTGGCTCTGATAAAAGGGTCTCTGTCTGTCTCTGAGGTGCTCCTCGAGGCCAGTCTGTTGAAGATTATGTAGCAAGCCGTTTTCCTTTGGCTGCAGTGTGTAACTGCCTACAGTGACTGGAAAGTTGTATGGGAAGCTAGGCACTGGGGAGGCAAGTTCAGGCATGCTCCTGGTGATGAGCCTGAGTGACCCAGGGCTGGGTCAAGTCTTTCATTAGGAAATGCATGTCAGTCTCTGAGTGATCCAGGGCGGGGTCAAGTCCCTCCTTAGGAAATACATGCAGTCTCTGCTTATAGCACTCAGCTCCCTTGGGGCCCCAGGGCCTCCACCATCCTGTCTTAATACTTGTCACAAAAGAGCTCAAGTAAGAGGTCACCTGCCAATGATTAAAAACTGCATTTGCTTTCCAACTTATGCTAGAGTCGTCAAAAGAAAGGAGATTCCTGGGAAGACTATTTTCAGGTTTAGTGTAAAATATAAGGACCCCATCATCAAGAGCATTCTCCTCAAAGTGAGACAGATAGCTTCGGAAATGATGGTTGTCAACACACTGCTGGTAAAACAGGAGTCACCAGAGACTCCGCGGGTGGCTTCATTGTAGTCACAGGGGTCCTTATGTGGCAGAGGGAGTAAAGAGGTCAGTTTGTTGTGATGAGAGTAGCCTCAGCCCACAGTTGATGGCTCTGAAGGCAGAGGGGGCCAGGAACCAGGGGGTTAACACTCTAGACAGTGTTAAGTCACAGAGATTACGGCTTCCAGAGACGTCCAGCCTACCATTACCTTGACTTTGACCCTGTGAGATTCCTTAGACAAGGGGAAGATGACACACTGGTGTCGTCCTGGTCTCCGCATCTGTGGGCTCCCTTGACGCAGTAGAAAGCCAGCACAGGTGTTAACCTGAAGCAGAGCCTAAAGCTTGACTGGATGAGTGACGCCTCTCGTGTGTCTGCAGGTGTCGTCGTGTGTTAATAGCACAACATTTTGATGAAGTGTGGAATGCAGACGCCTGTGACAAAATGTGTGACAACTGCTGCAAAGACATTTGTAAGCTTGTTGCTTTATTAGACGCTTGGGGGGGGGGGGTCAATGAAGCAAGGGCTGCATGTGGGAAGTGAGTTAAGTAGAATTAAAACCAAATAGAATTAAAAGGCAAACTGATTAGAATGTTTCAGATTCAAAAGTGATACAAATTTTTGAAACAAAGTAAATCAAATATGTATGCACACATGTCATATTGCTATACTGAGGACATCAAAGTTTTTAAGAACTAAGGAAAAGTCAGAATTCCCCTGAATAGAAATACTCTACCCTAAGAAAAGGCTAATGTAAGACAGTATCTATACCTTATAGTCTCTGTTCTTGATACAATATAGGACCGTGCATCTCAATGCAGCTTTTACTTCTGGTCTGTGCTGTGTTCTGATGTTTCAGTGGGTAGAGTTCTCTGTGCTTTTTACTTGACAGACAGCTACAGACACTAATTTGATAGCTAGTTCACGAGGCTGTTTTATAGACACGAGGCTCATGAGTCCTACGTGTAAGTCAGGGTGCTAGTCTAGTATCTGTCAGAGCGCTCCCTCAGAGCGCAGACTGGCTTTCAGAGTACCTTGTGATTAGCAGCATCAGATAAGAAGGTGGGAAGAGCAGGTTTTCTCCTGGAATGCGCACCTCGCACTGATGTCACTCGTTCCTGGAGCACGGTACAGCCTTTGGTAGCCAGGTTCTGCCTTTACATCACCGTAATCCCTACATGTGCTTTAGGAGGAGAATTTAGTCTGGTGATAAAGCCCGAGGAGTGAGCGCTCTGGTCTTAATTCTGAGCACATTAAAAGAAGTATGTGTAGACGGCCACAGTACTAATCAAGCCGTTAACCAGAGCTGGCTTCTCGCCCTGACTTCTCGATCCCAGCCGCCCATCATCCTCTGTCGTTGCAGTGTTTGAGAAGAAGAATGTAACGCAGCACTGCAGAGACCTGGTCAGGATCCTGAAGCAGGCAGAGGCACTGAACGAAAAGCTCACCCCGCTGAAGCTCATAGATGCCTGGATGGGGAAGGGAGCAGCCAAGTTGAGAGTGGCTGGTATTGTTGCTCCCCTGCTTCCCCGAGAAGACCTGGAGAAGATCATTGCACACGCTCTCCTGCAGCAGTATCTCAAGTACACGGCCTGTTTGTCTTCATGTCTTCAAGCCCTGTGACTGGTGCACAGGCAACAGTTTTGCAGTTATTTGATGTGGACTGTTAGGCACTATAGAAAACAGGTTACCTAGTTAGTAGTCTTAGGCCTTGATCATGAAGTCAGAAAAGTTAAAAAAAACAAAACAAAACAAAACAAAAAACTACCACCCAAAGGAAAAAAGAAAAATCAAAACCCAACCTATTTCCCTTGAAGGTTATATTTGTGTTGTTCTAGTGTTTTATACAATTATACTGTTCTAAAAGTGTTTTCTGTGATTCCTTCAGCTTTCTGATTGATTCCTTTCTTTTACAGAGAAGACTACAGTTTCACAGCGTACGCTACCATCTCGTATCTGAAAGTCGGATCCAGAGCTAGTCTTCTGAGCAACGAAGCCCATGCTGTCACTTTGCAAGTGGCGAGGCCCACACAGAGCAGCATCTTGGTAATTGTTGATTCTCAATGTGCTTAAAGCCTCTGGGGTGCTTTTATGAAGTTCTCTACTAGGTTGGGTTGCACACAAACGATGTCAGTTTTATTCCTGGGTTTTGAATTTGGATAGACTGGCCCAGTATAGAGTGGGGGCTGCAACTACTTGGAATGTGAGGGCTCCCATTTAAAGTCTAATCCTGTGAGATGCTTCCCTCATAATACTGGGTGGGATCCTCTGGTTAAGAAATCTCTGGTGGGATTAGCAAGATGGCTTAGTGGTAGAAGTCCTTTCTGCCGTCCTTGGACAGTCTAAGCTCCATCCCTGGACCTGATCCCTGTGAGCTGTCATCTAATGGAAGAGATGCTCTACTCCTGTATGCTGTATGCATGGTGTGCATATGTACACAATAAATAAATAGTAAATGTAAAAAAATGAAGTCCTGTGTTCCCCAGAGGTTATAAGCCACAGTTAAGTCTGTGCTGTGGCAGCCTCTGGGGACTGCATGTCCTCTTCAGGGTGTCTCTTACAGTACCCCGGTTTTAGCTAAGACAGTTGCCCATATTTGAACAGAAATCTGTAGACAGGGAGCAGACCCTGGAAAGAACCGGTACACAGGGTGTGTGCTGAGATGGTGACTCACGAGACAGTGGAGGAGTTGAGCCTTCACTGACAGGTTGCTGCTTTGTCTGTCACAGGCTGCATCGTCTGAAGCTCGTCAGCTGGAACATGCAGATGCGAAAGGGGAAGAAAGAAGTTCAGGTAACTTCCAGAAGTCTACAAAAAGGCTCCAGCCATCTGGTTCTAAGAACACAGGAGCTAAGAAAAGAAAACTTGATGATGCCTGAGTGATACCTAGTCTTGCACAAAATAACTGTTTATATATGTTCATGTCTGGTTCACTTTTATAGTTAATCAAGTGTTTAATTTTTGAAACAGTTTTATATTTTATACATATAAAGCTTTATTCTCGGAGCTTATCTGAAGATGGGAGTATTCAGGAGCATTTGAAAATTTACAATATACAATAGTGAAAAATGCATCTTGTATGCAGTCGTCTAACTGTAGTGTATCTAAGGTCAAGTCCACATGACTGTTACAAACTCGTCTGCCTGGCCATGACCGGCTGTTTTCTGTGTGACTCTTGTTTAAACCATCACTATGCTGACATGGGCACACACACACTTCCAAGATGGCGCCACTTTAAGCTGAGTAATGTAGATGATTTCTGATTAGAAAAAGCTACTGCTATAATTTAGATAAAAACAGTAAGTAATCAGTACCAAGTGTATCAGCAAGATTCTGAACAGTCTAAGTAATCAAGACAGCAAGCCTCTGGAATCCCTGGCCTTACTTTGATATTCATACAAAGAAAAGATCTGGACTGAGTGTTTTTGGGTGAGTCAAGGTTTATTGTCAACTCTGTAATAGGAATGTTCATCTGTGAATTAATCATTAAACTGAGTTCATCCTAGGAGTTTTCTTGACTTCTTCCGAACCAGGACTCTGGCTTCTGCATTCTTGACTTGTGGGGTCATTCACTTGGTGCAGTTGTTATTTTTCCTTCTTATTTTGAAACTTCGTTACTGAAGAAATTCCAGTGTCAGTCAAAATAATCCTCTATATCGATATTTGGATCTAGGAGGTTCTCTCCATATGATGAAAGGTCCATCTGGTTTAAAATTAAATTTTCAAATGTTTCCTCTAAATCAGTTTCACCAATTAAGACAGCTCCCATCATGCGTCCATTCTGCATGACGACTTTGACATACTCCTGTCCCCTGGTGCACCTCAGCATTAACTCGTGATCCGAGCCTAGGCCTTGTGCATTGTATTTTCCCAGCAGAACAACCTGCATGAGGGTGAAAAGGTCACTTTTATGAGTAGCCCCTTCCAACTCCCCCACAAATAACGTAAATCCATTTATCTGGGTCATGTTAGCTTAGACAAAAAAAAAAAAAAAAAAACAAAAAAAAAAATCAAAACAGTTCCGCCGTGGGAGGAACCCAAAGAAAGCACCTGAATGGCATGAACACACTGCCACACAGCCTACAATCACGTTAAACTGGCATCATTAATATTTTAATATTAAAAGTAGAAAATATATGTGGGTATACTATCCAGTCTTTAAGAACGTTAAAAGTGCCCCCCCCCCCATGCAGAGTGAACCGCTTTCCTGAAACCATGGCTTGGAAATTAACATGCGATTGAATCAGACTTTCCCTCAGACTTGCAGACATGTTTCCCCTATGTCTAGTTGAGGGAAGTGGAGACCTGTGTCAGAATGGAGAGAACCAGAGCTCCTGGTTCTTTATTGATGTGCATGTGTGTACCTGTGTGTATACATGCCTGTGCTTGCATCATGGGTATGCAGGTTCCCATGGGGCCCAGCAGAGAGTGTCAGATCCCCTTGAACTGGAGTTATAGGTGCCTGTGAGCTGTCTAATGTGGGAGCAGGGAACTCTCGAGATTAGCAGTAACTACTGAGCCATCTTTCCAGTCCCCAAAACATCATTTTGATAACAGTTTAAACCACAGATAATTATTTGAGAAGAGACACAGTTGTAATACTTTCAAGCACAAAGGGTATTTTTTTCCCTTTATCATCTTACCTTATAGTTAAAAAATTTTGTGACGTGAGCGAAGAGTTCAAAGCTGAAATCCATGTCGATTGAGTGTCCGGAAGTAGCCGCAGCCATGCACTTGGCTGCGTACCACCCCATCTGCCGTGCCTGGGTCCACAGTCTCATCTGAAATAATGGGAAATGGCACTTTACAGTACTTCTAGTTACTATCTGAATAAAAGTTTCACCCATGAATATGGGTGTGTATAGGCATATTCATGAGCATGAACATGAGTGTATGCATGCCAGGAGCATGTTTGAGTGTCAGTGGGCACCTTGAGTCCGTCTTGCTTCCCACTCTTTTTCGATTGAGTATGCCAGGTTAGCTGCTCTTCTGACGCTCAGTAGGAGAGTGCTGGGATGCGGTGGCTTATGATGACCCCAGCTTTAACATGGGTTCTGCGAACTCAAACTCTGGCCTTCAGGGTTTGTGTAGCAAGAGCTTTTATACCCACTTCAACTACTGCACCTTCCCTACAATTTCAATCTTACAAATTCCCTTAAGCTAACTTCTATGCCTTTGTCCCAGCTAGTGTTGTCTTTAGTGGTCACCACTGAATGCCAGTCAACATGGTATTTGCTAATCCTAAATTACTGCACCAGACATAGAGGATTGATACCCAACTGTATGTTTGAATATAATATCTATTAAATATAGTGAACCATTTTCGTCTTTACAAGGTGGGAACAAAGTATTTCCAGTGCCTTCACTTCCCAGGACCAGACAGTGATGGCCTCTGAGCTGACTCTGCTCAGACAGACGCAGATGAGGTTTCAGGCAGATTCTCAGAGGATGCTGCAGATTCTTTAAGACAGAACACATCTCACCTTTATATGCTTTCATTACATTTCCACAGAAGTTTTTTAACTCTCCCAATAGAAGACAAAAATCGTAGCCTTGGGAGTCACAGGAGAGTAAAATACTAATTTGTTTACCTATCTAGCTTTTCTGATCTTCCATGTCTTCCCCTGAAATAAACGGTGACGCTGCCCCATGGCTATGAGAACAGGCTTCCCTGCCGGCCGGCCCCTCTGAGCGTGCGCTCCTCCCGCTGTCTTTCAGTACAATCACAGCTGCAGCATGAGCCTCAGAGTGTCTAGAGAGTTTTTACTTTAACTCAGTCTCTGTAGAAGGTCTGATGAAGGAAGGGTCTGCTGGGGAGTAAACTGCCTAGCAACAGCAGATTGGCAGCAGACGCAGCCTAGCGCCACACTGCTGGCATTACCTACCCAGGCACCGACCGACACTGCAGCCCGATACCATCCCTAGGGTTCACACTGGTGACTGAGCAGCATGCGGACATTTAAGTCCGTTTACAGTTTTATGCCAGGGCCACATCCAGAGCCATCCTGGGAACAGGCCTGTTGGCTGTGGCCTGGATGTACCCGAGTTGTTTGAACCTGAAACTCCCTTACATCTGCAGTGTGGGTGATAAAAAGCTAATTAAGTGTCTTTCTTGCAAATTAGAATGTGGAACTATGAAATTCCCTTAGAATAAGGGTTATCTACTCTTTTGAGATGTTGTTCCCGTGTATCAGGTTTTGACATAAATTAAAGATGTAATTTGTCCTGAAGGGGTTACGCAGAAGAGAAAGATAACACCCAGAATGCTTTCTAAATTAAAAACATTCCTGCTTACTGTAAAGTGACTTTACAGTGGGAATCTAGTTATGCACCCACAAATCAGCAGCGATGGCTTCCACCTTAGAGTAGAAAAGCTGGCTCAGAAAACTGGATCCATTGATAGCAACTGCTTAGTGCAGATAAATGGAATCTGACAGACGCATGGTCACAGGCGTGGGCTCACCTGCTGCCAGACTGGGCTCGGTTGCCAGCATGCAGTGCAGATGTCTCCAGCAGCATAGATGTCAGGGAGTGACGTGCGCATCTGCTCATCCACTTTCAGGCCGCCATCTTCCCCCAGATCAAACTAAGCAGTTGTCATTAGCACAAGGGTGACAAAAACAGAAAGTGACATTTCCCTCTAACGAGGAAGTCAAGCGTGTGTGTTAACCAAGCCCTGATCAGAGAGGCAGAAGCATCTGCCCAGTGTAGACACCTGGCCAGAACGTTCAGGGATTCAGTTCCTACCCAACAGACTCAAGTCTCAAGAGTTTTACTATCAAAAACACCCAATAGTCAGTAGTCAGTCGTGTTTACTCCAACCCTAATTAGAAGAGCATTCTTTAACACTTCCAATGCTAAGATGCTAGTGTAACAGTCTGCAAGATTTACTCTTGAGAATCCATACAGGTCAGTCTCCCACCAATGTTGACATAAATAAATTGGACATTATGTCCCTGGTGATACTTAAGCTGGATGTTACGTGCATAGGGATGCTAAGTAGAAGAGAATACTGTAAATCAAGTCAGTTACAGTTTACTAAAATGATAAAGATTAGGAAGCGGACAGACTTCACCTTACATTGTTTCCATGGAGAAAAGGGTGTACGTTTGGTGTGACTCCTGTAGCACTGACAATGAAATCGCAGCCGTATATTTTCCCATTGCTTAATTCCACATACACGGGCCACGTTTCTTTAAAGAAGAAGAATAATTCAATTCTCAAGTGTCCTCTCTAGCAGTTCCCTCAGTGTCGTGGACGGAACAGAAACAGCAAAGGCAGGCGGCTTTAGAGCGCCTCTTGATTTCAGAAGGCCCTGTGGCTGGGACAACAGAACGCAGTGACATTGCTTTGTGCTTGGCAGCTTCAAAAGCAGGGTACTCCAAAGGGGACTAAACACTGTCCTTTGGACGTGTGCAGAGAAGTTAACAGTAAATTTAAACTGATGATCACTTTCTAAATAACTTGTGAAGCGATCTGATCAATACTTACGTCACTCAGCATTTAACCCAGCCCTTCCTCATGTTCCTGTCCACAGTCCCAACTCTACCATTCTATTTCTAAACAAGAAAACAACCAAACCAAACCAAAACAAACAAACATGGAAGATTCCAGAACATTAGCTGCCTGACTGATAGTTCACAGGACTGTGTGTTTGGAGTAGTTCTCAAGTGGTGTAGAATGAGACCAGGCATCTGCACTTAGTCCCAAACACATAGATTTTTAAATTTGATCTAGAAATTTTGTTACTTGTAGTCATGTTACTTATGAAAGCTTCTAGTTTGTTTTAGTCTGTGTAGTACTGACTGGGTTCCTGGGCTGGGTTGTAATGGTTCAAACACTGAACCCAAATAAAATGGAAAGCCTCGTAACATGGAATTCTCGAGAAAAGTACTGAAATGAGAGCCCAAAGTTTCTGATTATTTTTAACCAGATTTTATATGAAAATGTGAAGTTGAAAATAAAATATAGCACCAGGCAGTAGTGGCACACACCTTTAATCCCAGTACTAGGTGGGCAGAGGCAGGTAGATCTCTGAGTTCGAGGC